TTAAGAATATAATTAAATTTTAATACAAAAAATTATGAGAGTGAATAAGTTACGATGTTTCAAATAATCTTATATATAAAACTTCAATTAATAAAATTAGAAGAAACAAAAAAATATTTAATAAAATAAATAAATAAATAAAAATTATAAAAACAAATAATAGAAAGAAGAAGAAAAAAAAAGAAAAAAAAAATGTATACAAGAAATATACGAAAAAGTTAAAAAAGGATAAAATCAATGCAACTTAAAATGATAAATTGAGAAATTTAAAAGTATTATTATAATACGATTTAGACGAATGAAAAAAATATGAAGATTGAGTAACAAATAATTAATAAATCAAATTCAAGAAAAATCACTAAAAACATAAATAAATATTAATATTTGTATAAATAAATTTTAATAAATAAATGAAATTCAAATTTAATTTAAAAAACCAATATAAATTAATATTATATAATAGAGGATTTTTTAAATTACCCATTCTATTTTATTTTTTGAGTAATTTAATCTTTATATTCAAATTAGAATATAATTAAATTTTAGTGCAAGTGAAAACCAAATTATAAGACTGAATAAGTTAAGAAATGTTCAAATAATTTTCAAATAAAAATCTAATTAATAAAACTATAGAATATTCAATAAAAAGAAAAAAATAGAGAAAAAAAAAGAATGGATACGAAGAAATATACAAAAAAATTTTTTTTTTAAAAAAAGATGAAATCAATGAAATATGTGTAATAAAAAAATTTAAAATAATAAATTGAGAAAATTAAAAATATTATAATAGTACGATTTGGACGAATGAAAAGAAGATTGAAGAACAAATAAATATTCCTCTTGATATTAATTTAACATATATTTTTACGTAAGCTATTACGGTGTTGAAACAATAATTAAAGTAGTAGATTTTTAGCTCCTCATCATCGTATGAGAAAAATCGGACTATTAGGTGGGACTAGTGTAGAAGAGATAACAAAGATCATAAAAAAAATCAAAGTGGAAATAAAATATTTTAAACACAAAAAATTAATAGTAAAAATAAAGTTTAAATACAAAATTTAAACATAAATAGAAAACAAGATTTGCGCTATGCGCAGGTTTTCTCCTAAAATTTATTATCTCTTAAATCTGATTTCACTCTAGGAATAGAAAACTGAAAATTTTCCTAATTCTTATAGGACACTGACCACAGAGAGTTTAGTCTGTTGCATTGCTCTACTCGCTCAAAAAGGAGGACTTTATTCCAGTCCATACAGATTTAAATCCCTAAAAACAATAAATAAAATCTTATAGTTATCGTTTAAATGGTTAAATAATTTGCAAAACAAATTAGAATAGTAACAACAATAATCACATGGAATGGTCTGCCCTTTTGTTTCCTTCCCTTCGAACCACATGGAATCTTGTCCCAATAAAATTGTCTCCCAATCTTTATGTTTTAAAGTACATTTTACATGGGATGGTTTCTGCATAGAGGTTGATTTGAGTAATGTGTATAATTGGCTATTATCGTCTTCGAATTCTATCCAACAGTAGCCACCTATGACGTATCCACATTGTTTTCATTAAATGGACGAGAGCCAGAGCTTCTCATCGGAACTAAGCAACCTGTGAATACTACGTGAATTATTCCTAGAGTTGTTCTTGTACATTGTCCCCACACGACAAGAATACAAAAGCTGAAATGCTAGAACGCACAAATCCAATTTTTTTTTTTTTTTTCCTATAGCATCAGTGATACACAGAATATGTACTTATTTAATCTATAGATAAAGTGCGTTTGTAACCAGAAAAATGTTCAAATCCGTCTTGTTCTTCTGAGTTTTAAGTATATAGGAAACCCTAATTCTTTCCTAATCTTTAATTATAACTATATAAAACCCCGCGTGTACACGCGGTAATTTTTATATATATAATAGTTTAGTTTATCAAATAAACTTAATATTGTATGCAAATTTCAATTTTCTAAATCATGATAGAATTATGTAATCGCAAATCACTTTCTATGGTTATCTCTTTAAATTATTATTAGACATATATCTGTCTGTTTATTATATATTTTCTGTTTTTTACTAATGAAATAAAGTTAACAAATACATACACTCATCGATACACAATAAAATACAAAATATTGTGTTTGTTTGTTTCAGCTTAGCTTTTAAATCTCATCTCAAATCCTTTGAGTTCTGCTTAGGGTAATAAATATTAAAAACAATAATTTCTTTCTAAATAATCTTTTTTTTGTTAAAAAAATATAAAGTTTGGACGTCAATAGAATAAATATGATAGAGTTTGGGCATTATATTCTCCTGATACATAAAGAATTTTGTCTATGTGACAGAAAAATAAGGCGCTACGTAAAAAATTTTTATAGCTAATTTTATATTGAGTTAAACATTCACTATATGTCAGTCTTATATATCTACAAAAGATGTACGAAAACTATAAACATAAATTGAACAGAAAACAAAATACCTCTAAAACTTTAACTTCGTTTGTTATATCATCTGCTCTAAACCTAATATTGTTAGGCACCAGAGCATTACGAATACAAAAATATCATTATTTTTCATGTATGCAATAAATAGAAACTATTTATGATTTTTTAAATGTTTTTCGAACAAAAAAAAACGCGCATAAAACTCTATATTAATATGAAAACAAGAAATAATTATTTTAATGGCTCATAAAGTTTTTCTTATATATACATAAAATAGGAATATTGATATATATATATATATATATATATATTGTGTAATTACGCTACATACAGCTTGTTCCTAGCCCTCTTTCTATGAGGGAATGATTGGTTATCATTGCCTCCTCGTAGACACATAGAGTGATTATATCCATGTACTTGATCGCATTTCTGATCTGAAATACCAAAAGCCACAATCACTAAAACAAAAGTAACACAAAAAATCTGTATTTTGGATATGTTATTTGAAGACTTTAATTCTTTCCCAATGTTGGTTATGAACGTGACTGCAATGGCGCTATATCTGATTTCTGGAGCTCTTTGAGCGTGTAAGAGAAAGCTGAAAAATAGGTGGAATGCCGCTCTATTTTATAATAACATATGATTATGGCTCTTGATTCTTTGAATTTATTTTAGTGTCGTTCAATTTTTTCGGGTGTGCTTTACGAAATGGTAACACTACAAGTTCGAGATATAAACTATTTTTGTATTTGTGTCATGGTTGATGAATTAAATTTTTTTTTGGGGATTGAGAAAATTATTTTTTTTCAAAATCTGATGTGTCAAAATATAAAGTGCTTATGTGTCAAGCTTGTGAGACTCAACTGAGTCTTTATATAATAGATTTTTGGAGTTCTCTCTTGATTTTATTTAAAACCTGCAGCTTAGTTACATTTGACGGAAATCTCTCGTAATTTTGTTTAAAACTTGTTTCTTAGTTACATTTGACCTATCTAAAAATGATGCATTTTCCAATATGTCCCGTTAAAATCCACTTTGTAACTCTTGTCTTTTTTTTTTTTTCGTTGCCAAAACTCTATGTCTTTAACCAATCGAATTTATTCATTCCGTGAAATTACTAGAAGCTGCTTTTAAAACTTTTCTTTCATCTAAATTGGGGTAACTTAACATTCATTTATTTGTTTCCAGTTTTGTATGATATTGAACCGAGTCTTATATGGTCAAAGATACTGATTTGAACGTAAAAGAGTAAAAAAACAATAAAAAAAACACACACACAGGTTTGACCCCATCTTTTTCAGTGTTAGTCTATGTACTGTGTTAATGTGATCAAGTATAAATATAATAAGATTAAAGTCAAATTAACGTAGTAGTTAGGCTTGGACATTCAGGTATTCGGTTCGGCTTGGGTTCTAGTTAGTTCGGTTTTTAATTTTGAGAACTGACAAATACCTTAAATAATTTAGATTTGGTTCAACTCAGGTTGTTTTAATCCAAAATATACCAAAAAACCTAAAAATACCTTAAAACCCAAAAATATACTCATAAACCCAAAATATATCTAAAACCCCTAAAAAACTAAAGAAAATATATCCATCAAACCAAAAATATACACAAAATATCCTAAATATCCAAAAAATAACTAATATTTAAGGGTATATAATTATATTTTGGATATCCGATCAATTTTCGGTTTGGTTTTGATTCAATTCTAATTTAGTTCCGGTTTAATTCTGATTTGGTTACAATTCTTCAGATATAAGTGTTTAGAACCTATCAAATATTTTTATAGATTTTGGTTCGGGTTCCATAATTCTATTTCGATTCGATTCTGGTTTAGATATTCGGATCCTGTTTTTATATTCTGGACATTCAACATACTATATTCTCACCCCTTTCTCTTTGATGTGTTTGATTAAAACTTGTTTTGTTAGAAAATTGAAGTGATAAAGTATTCATGAATTATCGTTAAACCTATGCATCTAAAACAAATACATACTGAATAGAATTAAGTTTTTCTTGTGCGTTTCCCTCATCAAGTTAGGTTCTATGGTGTAGTGGTTAGCACTCTGGACTTTGAATCCAGCGACCTGGGTTCGAATCCCGGTAGGACCTTCTTTACTTTCACCCCATCTTTTTTTACTATATCGGCCCACGTTACAGTGATATATTGGGCACTGTATTGGGCCATATTTTATCCAACTGTTTATTTCTTGAGTATTTTTTGCAGATTGGCATTTAAACATAATCATTAGACATATTCGAATGTATTGAAAATTTGAAATCAAATTAGTAGACTTAACTAGAATAAACAAGACGTCTCTAAACTTATCACCATTTGAAGTGAAAACGCAATGGCAAAAAGTTTCATCAATTCCTTTTGAGAAAAGTTAAGTGCTAAAACAAATTTTAAAAAGTTGTTCTTCTATTATTATCCCAATTCCATTCATCTTTATTCCACTAAATTACCACTAATTGCCCTAATACATTGCGTATCCACTGATCACTAGTTATCAATAACAATCTCAATCATACTTATTTTCCTACTCTCCTTTTATTAACTCCACACTTATCTATTAATATTATCATTATCCATCAATAACAATCTCAATCACATTACCATTAAAACAAATCCGACAACGACTTATCCGAGAATACTCTTGTTGGATTCAACACTTGCCAAGAGATTAAAAAGGAAAGAAAGGGAAGTGTCATGATGATCTCAATTCAATCAATCACTGCGACTGAAATCGTTTCATGATGAGCATACTCATATCCATGTAACGCCCAACGCAGTTAGTGAGGCAAGAGGACTCGCTCGAGCTGATTTTGCTTCCTGGTTTGTCCGTCATGCATTTGTCCCAGCACGAGCTCGTCAGCTTCGCCACCGCTTCGTTCACCATTGCTCTTTCTTTTTCTTGCTGTTCCCACAATCCCATTGCCAAGAAGAAAAATATATATTCTTGTAAATACATATTAGCACAAAAATCGATTTTAAGCAAACCCAACTAAACCAAACATGATAAAGATCACTAATTTAAACCAAACATTACTCTTGCTTTTTCTTGTTGTTGCCACAAACCCATGACCAAAACAAAACAAAAAAAACGATTCTTGTAAACACATATTGGCACAAAATTTAAACCAACTAAACCAAACATGAGGAAGATCACTAATTTAAACCATAAAGAAATACAACTTTTTTTTTCTTCTTTTATTGCTCTGATTTGATTCGATTCAAAAGGAACGGTTTTTCATGAATCCAGGCAGGAATTGAAGATAGAAACTACTTATAATTTCATTTTCCTAACTCTTAAAGAAGAGAATATAAAGTAAAACTACGAGACATGAAACTCAGTTTCAACGTATTTTCGAGGTAAAGAACTTTAAACAAGAAGAAATATTTAGACTTGATTGGAACAGAGAAAGGAGACTTACGGTGAGGAATTGAAGCAATTCCTGGTTGTTAGCGAGGGAAGGATCCATGGCGGTAGAGATCGTCTCTGTTTGATGAAGAAGAAGAAGAAGAATCGATTTTCTCAGCGACTGAAACCCTAAAAAAATCTCAATCAATTTTCAGGGATAGATAGATAAACCGGACGCCGCTTACTTCTTTGCTTATTGAGTTAACGGCCCATAAAAGACCCAATTATTAAATATGTGTCCTCTCATGATATATAGTAATAGATGTATTCAAAGTTTCGATTTCGTCGTGGATCTGCAACGAATTTATTCCAATTCAAAAATTCAAAATATATCTATTATATTAAAACATAAGCACATTTAGTACTTGCTTCCAAACACTCCTAATTTTTAAAGTGTTTAAAAATAATTTTAATAATTATTTATATTTAATTTCGAAAATTAGTTATTAATTTAAATATTTTTAGAGTTCTTTTAAATATATGTAATTTAGATTTGATTTGATTTGATTTAATTTGATTAAAAATAATAAATTAGATATTAATTTAAATTTGATTTAAAGATTCTAATTTAAATAATTTCTATACTATTAAACATTTTTATCAAAAATATCTAGAATTTTTGAAAAAAAATTAATTCACATATAAAAAATAATGGTCATATTTGAAATATAAAATATTTATAATGATGTAAATGATATGATATTTATGTTGCTTATATAATATATTTAAGATTATGATTTATTTACAAATTAATAATAAAATAATAAGTAAAATTCAAATGTATAATTTAAATATTAAAAATATATTTTTAAAATTCATAGAACTAAAAATATATATAAAAACCGGGTTAAAAATATTTTGGTAACTAAAATCACTAATTTTTAATTATACATGTATATCGAAAATATATTTTTCATACAAAATAAAAACATAAAAAATTAAAAATTATTGCATACACTATAATGTGGTTTGAAAAACCAGTTGTACACTCCCTTCGTTGATTAAATTTAAAAAAATTATAATGCTAAATATACTGTTAATACATCTCAAACTTTTAACAAATATTTATATTATACGGTAATATGAACGAAAAAGTTATAATTATGTTTTTATAATAGTTTATTTTGAATTAATATTAGCGGATGGGTTAAAATTATATTTTTTTAATTATAATTAATTTTAATACTATAAAAATATATCTAAACACAAAAATCAATATTTTCACTTCTTAAAAAATATATTTATAAAAATAATTATATCTAAACTCAAAAACACAAATTATACTACAAAATTCGTTAAACAATAAAAAATATTCCCGTGCGGATGCACGGGTTAGAATCTAGTTTATCCTTAATATCAAAGTTCGAAACTAAAAACTATCTAAATCGTGATTTAACTTGGTTTACTATTTACTAAGAAAAAATTTAACCACATAAAATAAATATAAACCAAATTATAACCCAATTGAAATTGATAAACCAAAATTGAATCCACTTAATAACTAAACCAGAAAATTCTCAAATTTCGATTACCATAAACCCTAAAAAAATCCTAAATTTCAATTACGATGAACCCTAATAAAAATCTCCGAAAGTCATAGTCTTTTTTCATAATGTTCTTCGTGAAAACATAATAGCTTTGCAAAAAAAAGCGTTTCAGGTGTTCACAGTGGTTCATCTCCCCAGGGAGTTGCAGAAGAGTTGCTTGAAAGAGGAGAGATGGAGAGAGTGGAGAAGATGATGTCTCCGTTGACCGGAATCAATATTGTCACATTGACTTTTGAATTCAAGAACATGATTGAGCATGGGCCATTGGGCTATTTCTGGGAATAGCTACGTTTGTGATTATCATTGAAAATAACGACAATAAAATTATGAACAAATTAGGTTTACAATTCAATTTTTTTCTGGTCTTCTTCTTTCTTTTTCTTTTTCAAGTGACAATTTTTCTTTTTTTTTTTGTAAAATTACCAATTGAGTTTGACAAAAAACTCTGTGGATCTCCATCTTAACACCACTCATGAGTCCTGTGGTGCAAAGCCTGTAGATGAGACATAAACATTAGCTTGATATAGGAAAAAGGGTTGACACGTGGAAAGTGGATATTAGAAGATAGGTTCAACTAGCCCTGGTATAAAAACCGGAACCGAAGAACCGAACCAGAACCGACCCAAAATTACTGGTTCGGTTCGGTTTCGGTTCCTGCGTAAATATCCGTCGGATCCTGTGATTGAGATCCATAGATCTCGGTTGGGTTCCGGGTAATATACAAAATCCGAAGTACCGAACCGAAGACCCAAAAATTGTTGGTTTTAGTTGGTGGGTTTAGCCCATGTAAAACGAAATTATGGCCCATACACTCAAACAAAATATTGGATTGGACTTGTAAAATTTTGGCCCAGAAACGAAAAAAAATGAATTAAAAAAAGTGTGCATCCTATAACCCTAATTCTCGCAGACACATTCTCTCTCTCGACCAAACTGATTCATTTTCTCATTCTTAACACATATATAACCCTAATCCTTAATCAGACAGAAAAACTAGAATCCGCAAATTTCAAAAGCCGTCGCTTTTCCTCGCCGGCTCCACCATCTGCTACATCAAAAGTTCAGTCAGAGGTATGTTCGTCTTCCATTTCCTTCTCATCTTCGATTTCATTTGAGTTTCATTTTGAATGGGTTTTGCTGAAAATTTTCGATTTGGGGTTTCAGACTTAAACGTTTCAATAGAGCTAATTTCTTCTTTGATTTTTCATTTCCACTAAGAGTTATAATTAAATCGAGTCTCTAGAGTGTCTTTAATTAGTTTTTTCGATTTAGGGTTTACTGTTCATATATGAAATCGATTTGGGGCTAACTGTTTCTCTTTGTTTAAAAAAGAAATAGACATCATTTCCTACTTGTTTATTCATTTTTACAACGAATTAGGGTTATAACTCGATCTGGGTTTTACTTATTTGAGTTTGCGGGTTTAGTAAGAAAATGATTAGGGATAACTCCTTTTGTCATTTAAATGCTTCTGTTAGTACTCAGCTTAGACTGTTTGTGAGTTTTGATTGCTTGTGTTGTATCAATACATTATATTAGTTTGATTATGAGTTATGAATGCTTCTTAGTTATCGAGTGTACAAGTTGTTGTATCGATAGTTTCATGTCATTGTATTATGACTTCTGATGGGTTTGGTCTTGTTAATACGATGCAGATGGCTTCTAATCAAGGTTTACTGAACGTTAATGAAGAACCAGTTTTTGAAGATGACCTTGAAGTTACCGAGGACGAAGTTGAGACTCCTACTCCTACGTCTGCTAATAAAGGGAAACAAAAAGCTTCGGGGAATAAGAAAGGAAGGAAGAGGACAAGATCTGATGTGTGGAACCATTACACAAGAGCGAAGGATGACTTTGACAAGTGCAACTGTCATTACTGTGGGAAGGAAATGGGGTGTGCAACTACATCGGGCACCTCTAATCTGATCAAGCATCTAAGATTCTGCAAGCAGCATCTTGCGTATGTAGCAGCAAAGCAACCGGATGATCAACAACAACTGGATGCAGAGACTGGAGACGGTTTGAAGCTGTGTAAGGTGTCTGATGCGGTGATTAGGGAAGCTTCAAACGAAATGGTTGTTCTAGCTGAGTTGCCTCTGTCTTTTATAGACAGCCTGGCATGGAGACATTTCTGTGCTAGAGTCAAACTGCCCAAGCCACACTCTCGGAGAACAGCGACTCGAGACATAGTGAAGATGTATGTGAGGAAGAAAGCACTTCTGAAGAAAGCACTTGCAGCCAATAAGCAGCGGCTCTCCTTGACGACTGAAATATGGACGGCTCCAACAATGATGGCTAGTTATATGGTGATAACTGCACACTTCATCGACAACAACTGGCAGTGGAAAAAATTCATCATTGGTTTCAAACACATTAGTGACCACAAAGGGTCGACTATAGCTATTGTTCTGCTAGACTGCTTAGCTGAGTGGGACATCAAGAAGATCTTCTCCATAACGGTTGACAATGCAACAGCAAACTCAAGTGCTATGAGTTTGTTTAAGGACGAGTTCAGATATGTCAGAGATGATGCACTAGTTCTCGATGGTGAGTATTTACATTTAAGATGTGCTACTCACATTTTTAATCTGGTTGTGAAGGATGGACTGCACGTTGTGGACAAGAACATTGCTGCCATTCGGAATGGTGTACAGTTTGTGAGGTCGTCTACACCAAGGCTGATGTCATTCGAGCTTCGTGTTGATAAGGGGAAGATGACGAGAGGGAGTCTGTCTCTGGATTGTAAAACAAGGTGGAATTCAACATATCTGATGTTGAATAGAGCGATGGATTTCAAGGTGGCTTTTGACAAGATGCAGGCTGAGGACAACTTGTACAACGACTACTTCAAGGAAAAAGTTGATGGGATAAAGAGGATTGGCCCGCCTATGGAAAACGATTGGGACGCAGTGGACAGGTTACTTCACTTCCTTGTCATCTTTTACAATTCAACGCTTGTCCTCTCTGGAACTAACTCCCCTCGTGCGCATAAGTGTTACAATGAGATGGTGAAAATTGAGAGGAACCTGATATTACTGAGCCTAGATGGCGATGATGAGCTTAAGAAGAAAGCAGCAGCTATGATTGCAAAGCTAGGCAAGTATTGGGATCCGTTCGGTTTTGAAACCGAGATGAATCGTATGCTGATAGTAGCATCCGTGTTTGATCCAAGGAATAAGATGAAGTTTGCCAAGCTTTGTTTTGATAAGCTTTATGGGCCAGATAGTGCAATTGCTACGCAGATGAATGAGTCCATCTTAGAGATTCCACAGAGGTTGTTTGATGAGTACAATGTCAGGTCTGGTGGTTCTGTCATCCAATCATTAACTCCTACGACTAGTACAAGTACGTTTTCTCAGTCACAGGTTAGTGGATCATCGAATGGTGCATCTAGTTCTGGAACTTCTCAGGACTTAGGTAGAACTAGGAACCGTAGATTGAACTTGGCTGGTCGTTCTCGCTATGAAAAGATGGATTTAGTTTACAAAGAGATGGTACAAGAGACAGGGTTTCAGGAAATTAGCTCTAAGCTAGATTTGTACTTGTCCGAGAATATGGAGAATCCACATATATTTGAGGGAACCGAGTATGATGTACTCTCATGGTGGAAGGTCAATACTCTTAAGTTTCCGGTTCTGTCACAAGTGGCTAGGGATAT